TCCACGGACAAATTTTTTCATCAAAACAGCGAAGATCAACATTCTTTGTTGCACGATATTCGATGCGATAAATCTAGCGTCTAAGGCAAATGCAGCGTAAAGGCAATACTGTACAGCGATCGGCGAAGCGCATCTATATAGCATACAGCAAGGGAGACAGGGCGAGCTAGGCTACTCCGAGTAATCGAAGCCGCGGTCGCAATTTCAGCGATATCGAGTGCTGGGTTAAAATGGCTCTGCACTTTCCAGAATAAAAGCTTCCAGCTCCTCGCCGAGGTCGCGTTATAGGTCACTCGATTCAATTCGGACCTTCTACTTTTTGCGTTGTATGATAACCGCAGCGAAAACTCACGAGAGGAATCAACGCTCGTCGCGTAAGTGCGCGCGTGTGTGCTTGTATTGACGATATATGGCGCGATCCAGAACAATCAGTACTTGCGACACTCGCGCGCGCACGCGACTTATTCGTTACGTGAGAACCAGAAATTACGTTTTTATCGGGCGCCGCCTCGCATGTTAAACACCGTAAAAAAAAATATGAAAGAAAGGTGGAAAAAAAGGAGAAGGGCAAAACGGAAACTCACTTGCCATTCGTGTTTTATGAGTTAAATAGCGCGTGACGCATCTGCATCGGAGGGGGACACAACAAAAGACCGAATAGCAAGCGTCGTAAAGCATTGCAATGATCGACGATACAAGGAGTAAAAGGCAAACTAAACAATGGCAGAAAGGAGATTCTTAAGGAAACGCTGACGCCATAAAATTCGCATAAAAAAGGGGGTCGAGCTCCTTTCGAAGATAGAGAGAAAGAGAGAGAGAGAGCAAAAAATTTCGTTGGCTGCGATAAAACGCCACGCCGAGAAAGCAGGCTTGTCGATACTGTACGTCAGGTGGATGCAATAGCAGGTGAGGTACGCTTTGAAGCATAGATATGCAACGTTGATCATCTTTATTGAAGTCGTACAATCAGACTTATGGTTGAAGTTTGCCGAATCGAGGAGTTACTATACAATATAATATATATTGTCTAAAGATATTCAACTAATTTATGACACTCCATAATCTTCACAGCATTTAAAAGAAAGTTGAAAATCTTTACGAGTCGGATAGTAAATTGTAAAACGATCGTTGCGCACTAAAACTACGTAATATATCCATAGAGATCCCATCCTTATCTAAAATCCGTCCATCGCTCGCGAAAGTACGGTTATCGAAGAGTCAACAAAGTCGCGCGGCATCGCGCTGCTACTGGCTGATCGACATTTATGCTTTTATCTACACACAGCGTTATATAAGGATCGATCGATTGGCGCGTAAAACGACACTCTTCTTCGTCCTCCGCGTGCCTGCATCGCGTCACCGTGGCGTTTTCCTCAAGTTCATCCTCAATTAAGCCGGCAAATGGCGTCTTGTCTCTTGCGACACGTGCCCAGCGATAAAAGCCGCAGCGCGTTCAATGGAGAGAAAATGGAGCTGTGAAAGTGCGTCGCCTACACACACACACACACACACGCGCGCGCGCACACACACACATGTAGGTACTTTCTTGCTGTAGCTTATCAGCGCAAAAGAAGAAAAAACAAGTAGAGGCGACAACGTATTTTTCTCCTACATATATATACGTACCGGAGTAGAGAGTGCAAAAAGGTGTCGAACGGATTTATATGCTATAACTCCTTCCTCCCCGTCGTAGTAGAAGAAGCAGATAATAATAGTAAAGGAGATGAAGGAAAAAGCTGGAAAGACAGGCGAAATTCGATTCCACGTATGCTTTGAATGCTGCGCTCGGAAAGAGAAGTCGTATACGCGGGCTTTTCCCTACCGCCGGCAGCGCGTATTACGCGAGTGTGTGTGCGCGAGCTTGATTGAAAAGTTTCCTTTTCCTTGAGCTAAGGAAAACAAGATAGTTTTTCCGCCATATAATGCCGCTGCCGACGCTGCTCCCTTCTGGCTTCTGCCGATGAAGTTTGCGCGCGGCAGTTTTTCCCCTCTTAATGTAGCCCGGATAGATGCATCGCTAAATTACAATTGCAAAAATACATTATTGCATTAAATACAATGCCGCCGCTGCACTTCTCCGATGACTGCTTTGCGCGTTCTCGATAACGCTCCGGCTTCTTCGCGTTATGTGCCCTTATTTGATGGAGCCAATTCTCGTTACGCCCTGCGCGAAACCTCTGTATTTTTCATTTCGCGACCGAACCTATACGTTAGGAACATGTATATTGTATACGTCTTTCGTTCGCTGCGTTCGAAGCCTCCTTTTCTAGCGACGCGCGGGCAAGAGCAAGCCACAGCGACTGCTTTGCAGTTAATTGAGAATGAAAATGGTACTCGAAAAAGCCGTGAAAAATTCACTGACGTCGTCGCTTTTTTATTCTCTTGCTCGCGAAAAATACGCCGGAAAAACTTTGACCGAAATACGAAGCTTCGCGCGAGATACGAAAATAGTTAAGCGCTCAAGCGCGAGGAAAGTCTATTGGAAAAGAAAGACAATCAATAGACTTATCTCGAGGCGCGCGAGGGCGAGAGCGAGCGGTGAACCGCGAGTGTCTCTATTTTAGGCCACTCCAGAAGGGAAGAAACAATAGGCGAACGTGTCTGAGGGCACTTGCTATCTCGGCTATTGACAAGTTTTCTGCGCGCCCAATTAGTAGCAAGTGCCAGAAGTAAGCAATTCTCGCGCTCGCACGCCTCGACTCTACAATCTTTTTCGTCGGAGATTTCCAAGTCCTCGGCCTCGGGCCCCTTGTCTTTGCCGTCCGCCAACGGATTCGATAGTAAAACTTTAAAATAATCTTAGGTCACGAAGCAGCTTTACGCACGCGCCCCGTCGCACATCGTGCAAGCCTCGCAGGCTGCTCGCGCACAAATAAAAGTGAAAAGCTGACGCGTGTCTCTACATCGCGAAACAGGCAGGTTGCATGCGTTGCGACCACAATTTTTTTCTAATTTTTCGCATTAAACAGTAGAGATGATGGTCCTGATTTCTTTCAAATTATGCCATCCTTGTGCACTCCTTATCAAGAAATTGCCAATTTCCTAACAGATTGATTCTTAGAAAGCAGCTCTCTCGCTTAAGCACATGAGATACCCTCAATTTCCTGATCGTAGAGGCATGTAAAACACGCGTCGTTATATTGCAAGAGGGGGGCAGCTCTTGTCTCGCGTCTCAATATATTCCAGGTCGATACTCGCATATAAACCACTCAATAATAGGCGCTACAGAGCTAAAAAATAAAAGACATTTTAAATATTCCATGTTGTTTTTCTCGCTCATCGAGCACTCTTTTTTTCTTTTTTTTTTAATACGAATTGCCAAAGAGCACGACACAAAAGACTCTCGGTTATAACGGTACGCCTCTGCGCGAGGCACTTTTATCTATGACACATCCACTCAAGCAAGCATTCACGTACAGTCGTGCGAATAACACTGGATGCTGACAAGCGGATAAGATCGCTTGATTTCCTGAAAGCACCCCGGTGCTTTGTGAATAGACAGCTATTTCAATGGAACACCGGTCTATTGCTGCTTATTTTATTTGGTTTTTTTTCCTGCACATCGTTAGAACTATTTTATTTGTTTTTATATTTAACCACGATTGATGGAATTGTATGAAGTATAAATTCATGGTACTGCGAAATATTATTAATCATAAATTCACTTTACGGAACTGCAATATGCTTTTCAAGTCACTTCGTGCATTTTTCATTAACCAATATGGACAAAGTTAATATTATATTTAGCAAATTTAATCAATTTTCACTCGCACAGTTGTCGCAAAAAATTTAAATAAAAATAAATCATGCGCGACCGTAATTGATTCAGGAAAAGATACTTACGCTATAGTCTGACATGAACGAGTATTTTTCGATTAATAAATTGAATATGATATATATTTATTATTTGTTGAAGAATAATTATTAATCAATATAATAATACGATAATATTTCAACAGTCTATTGATTTTTTCGAATATCTGGATGTAAAGCAAAGTTTGTTGAAAGATCTTTCGAAGATCTGTTAACCGAATATATTTTTAAATAATTTATAAAAACCTAATTCAAAACATTTTCGCAACTTTTCTCGCCTGTATTGCTATTTCTTTTAGCAGTGTTATTTAGCGTACATCAATATTCATTCAGAAATAAAAATAGAACATTCATCCATTTTTTCACAAAAACCAATGAAGTTTTACTTAATTCAAGATAAATTTTTGGAAAGATTAATTCAATCTACGATCAATAAGCCATTATACTATTATACAACATTAAACTTTACATACTTAATAATAATGATTATGGCTCCAATCGTATATTAGTTTGAGTAATGCGTTTAACATCGTGAGCTTTTTGTTGTTATATGAAAACACCCATGAATATTCTTTAAATTTAATAGGATTAATATTCTGATAATTAGTTTCCATTGCTCACATATTTCTTAATTTATAATGTACATAAGATAAATATGTTTTCCCCTATTTTATTCTATTCACTTTCTCTTATTCAATCAAATTTTAAGACAATATTAATTTGAGTATCAAAGATATTAAAAATTAAAGATTTCCAATGACAATTTCAAAATATAACATCTTGTGTTCTCAAAACAATTTATTAACGGCATATTCTTGCAGGTTATTATCCACGTTAACTATTTAGAAATTAAATTTACTGTTAAAATATAAATTTCATACTCTTACTTATATATAAAAATATTTCAAAGCATACGAAAATACAAATTTTCGCGCTCTTTTTTAGCATCAATTAATCTCAATAAGAATGGATATGATCATCCTTCATGCTTTTAAAATAAGAGCAAGATATTATTGTGACGGCATAGTTTCGTCACTGTATTTTCTGGGTATATTGCTACACCAATTATCAACAATAAGTAACAATTTATTATCAGCTACAGTATCCCCAACTCACAGTAGAGGTCTCTGAAACTACCATCTTCGTTGTCTGCTCAGTGCTTGTTGTCGCTGCAGATTGCAGCCTAGCAGCCACAACACACAGCACACATGTTTTTTCAGTTGGTATGTAGTTGTATAGATACAGTAATTGACTAGACAAGTGTCCTGTAGATAAACAGAACGTAAGCTTTTAATCTAAATGCTAATATTTCTGGAGTGTAAAATTGTTGCAAAAAACTTTATGTTTCATTCATGAAAAATTAAAAAGAGCTTTATAGATTGAAATGTATTGATTTTCAGAAAGTACAACTAAAGTGTATTCAATGTTTTCTAAATTAACTAACATGCATTTAGTTTTAATAAGATTTATTGAAAGTCAGTCAAATATTTGTAAATTAGAAATGTAATCAGTAAAGTGCATTATATTATTCAAATTTATATTGGAACACATTTGAGTCAAATTTTATATTTTCAGCCAAAATGTCTCAATTTGAAAATGATACTACAAAGGCAATAAGACCATTTTAACTTGATTCTTGCCATTGAACTCTGTTTAAAATGCTGTTGACCTTCTTCTACATGGTTGCTACATGGATACAGTCATGGAGACTGTCTTCATTAAGGACACGTCTCCAATTACTTCTGCAAGGAGTAGAGGCTACCAGGCCTTCAGTAATGCTTTATACAGCACATGAATTATGTATCAAGGAAGGCAATAACTATTTTGTTGATTTGTGTGTTGATATAACTTTTTTTTAAATTATCAATCACATTGTAGAAACAAACGGCAATAAGAACAAGTCACTGATTGGCAACAATCACCACAACAGCCTCAGTTCTCACTTTTGTAGTAACAATAACCTTGCAATGCTGGGAGATTTACTCTGGTTTCAGGGTGATAAGAGACTGTGTATAATTTATCCTCAAGTAAGCATACTTGTCTATATTTAGATCAAGGATGTATTGATTAATTTTTCCAACTATTTATAGCAAAAAGTTGATGTGACAAATTGGCTGTTATATCCTCATGGAAAAACTATTTTCCCTCTATTTGCTCACAATAATGCACAAATATCTTTGTTGCAAAATGAAAAAATGCACGTGCTCATAGAAGCTGATTTAAATAATTATATTCCACATGCTTTCTCAAAAGCCACAAAGGTATTTACATAAATGAATTTTTATAACTAATTATTTCTACTTACTAAATAGTCAAATTTAATTACTGCTAATAGCTAGAGGATTATGGGTTAATAGTATCTTGGACTTTGGATAATGTTTTTGCTGTGATACTAGAAACAGATTTAGATCATATAACAAAATTCTCTACTACACTCATGCAGGGACAATGCTTCATTAATAATGGCTTACCTGTAACACGTATTGAATGTAAATGTGATTGTTTGCATAAATCTATTGAAATTTCCGGTATTAGAATGTTCTTTGTTTGTTAACAGCTGTTTCAGTCTCTGGCAAGCCTTGTGTGTGCAATTATGAACGCTTCAATGCAGTAGAAAGTAAAAGTAAGAATTCAATTTATTAGAATGTTGTCCTCCCCTGCCATTTTTTGTCTTCGTTGACACTGTTCTTGATCAGTGTAGGCAAAGAAAGAAAGGAAAACCTTTTGACATTTTGTTAACAATCTAGTTAACCTGCTAAGAAAAAATAATCAACAATGCTGTAGTCAGTCAATAATATGTATTTGTTCTGGCCATAGCATTATTGGCCGTTTATTTTTTATGAAGAAGAAAAAGATAACAAATCTATTAAAATTATCTCAAAACATTTTTCTTTCTTTCTTTTCCTACACTGATCGAAAACAGCGTCAACGGAAATATAAGTAAAAATTATCTAGAATTTTTTCAATGATCACAATGCCAATTTCTCTAAAGATATATTCTAATATTAAAAATCTTTATCATAGAGTTAATGGGTGGCTCACAATGGAAAGCATATATAAATAAATTAAAGTTAGTTAGTAGTACTGCCAGACAAGTCTCGCAACAGAATATTTCGATAGAAGTAAAAGAAATATCCGGCTTAGTAATATCACCGGGAAGCCAACCAATTATCTTACAAATGCCTACAATTTTAGAAATTGCAGCCTCCAGCAATAGCTCAGGTACTTACAAGAATATTTAACAATTAACCGAAGTTACGATATATAGGAATTCATTATAAGTTATTTATATTACTTCTTTAGTTCCATCTACGCCTCCACCAACGCCAGCTTCAGCAAGTGCCATAATGAATAGAACAGAGCCAAAGCTATCTCAAATTATCGCTAATTCTAATATAGAATTGAATCCTCTTGTAAATTTATCTATGAGTTCGCTTACTAATTTAAGTTCGGGTAGATCACAGGAGTATATTCTCGAAAGCTCACAGGAGAATCTTCTCGGAACACCTATAAAGTCTGTAAGGCATTTAAAAAAATTAGATAGAGACACTAGAATTTCCAGTTTGGCGTCTTCCGTATCATCGCTATCTAACGTAAAGTGCGTCTTCTATTATTAACATGAGTGGCTACTTACTTAAAAATTTCATGGCTATTTTCAATAATTGTACAACTTTTACAAGACTTTATGATATTTTGACTCATAGTGTCACGCATTTTTAAAATAAAATGGCCAATAGCTAAAGTTTGAATTTAACAACTGAAATATTCAAAATCATGAAATTCTTAGTGAGTTGGATATTAGTTTAAATTTTGAAAAATTGTCGTTCTTAAAAGCTCGACAAAATTATACGTTTGAAAATAATTGAAATCTGTTGAATAAGTTCCCTCTTAACTTAGTTATTTCTGTTTTATAGTAGATTGTTAAAGTGAAAAAGGGAAATTATGATTTCTTTGTTTATAGCTACTCGCCGTTGAAAAAGACTGACTCTACTAAAAACGTTAAGCCACCAAGCATCTTAATTTACGCAGACAGCGCAGTCGCCAGTGATAATGTTCACAGTGTTCTTCAGACAATTCTCAAAGAGAACAAGTAATTACTCCAATAACATTGCAATCGATCTCATATTAACAAGTAATTTGAAATAAGGAAAATTACATAAAATTTCAGATACACAATTTATGCGTTATCTACACAGCAGGCGAAGCAAGACATTTGGATGGATCAAGCAAGTCTGGTGATTGTATGCGGCAATGTCGGAAGCGACATTGCATCCCAAGTAGTCGAGTACTTAACGCACGGTGGTAAGCTTTTAGCTCTTTGCTCGGATATACTGAAAAGCCTACTGCCAACTTTCAAAACTGCGGAAGTACGTGAAAACGAGCTCGTTCGCTTCTCCTATGGAAAATGGAAGCATGTTCGCATGATGCATCACGTATTTTGCTATCAAGCTTCCCCGGTGAAAACTAAATTCTCGCAAGATGTAGACGAATCCAGGTAAATAATTGATTCGACCTCTACAGTTTTGCGCAACGAAGTAAAATTTACTGAATACACTTGAACTTTTAGAACGGCCACGCCGCCAACGCCAGTGTCGGCAAGTATAACGGATTCTTCTGGTAAAACGCACGCGATCGAAGTAAAGGTATTGGGTTCGGAGGAAACATGGCATACCCCGAGTATTCTGCTAGCCAATCTAGTTGAGACTGGTGGCAAGGCACTTTTTTCGCAAATTCACCTGGAAGCAGATCCTTCGCAGTATGAGTTTGAAGAGAGCAAATTCAATGCACTCAAGGAGAGCAACGTTACGCGTCTTGAGATTTTCACCGACCTCATCAGTACTCATATGGGACTGGATGTTAATCCTAAACCAAAGATACCACCTACTTACACATCAGCATTTTTTCTGGGAAGACATGAGGTGAGCATTGCCTTTCTTTGATTAACAATTTTGCGCTATTATCTTGTATATTTGGCATTGTCGTATCTACTTTAAGTACGCTTGGGAAATTTAGATTTTTACACCCGAATGAAATAAATAAAAATTGATGATCGTTTAAATTACAGAGACTTTACTGTGATAAGCTGGAACTTGACTCGTGGTAATACATGTGTTGATGGTCGTTTTTAATTTAAATTTGCCGCAAAACTTTTTGGTGACAAATGTGAACGTTCAAAGTCTTAAATGCGTACATCTTTTATAAATTGAGCTTTTTCGAAAATTGATAGACGTTTGATTTGTTAAATTTTTACTGCACCATCTACTTCGCTTTTGCACCTATGAAGAAAGTATCGTATTGTTGTGTGTTTCCATTAAAATCTCAGTGTATTTGTATTTCTCTTGAGAGTTCAACTAGCAAAATTGTTCAAAGGAATTAATGGAAAATCAAATTTAACTAAGTTACAGATTAGCAGAGATACTATTTAACACGGTATAATCTTTCAAATTCCGTTAAAAAAAAATCACATAGGTTCCGCGTGTTTCATAACAGTTCCTACATAAAATATATTTGTAATTATGCACCTTATAATTATACAGCTAAAGTTAGAAATGCTGAAAAAACTGAAGAGCAAAATGCAACCGAACGATATACTAAAAACAACGAAGCTAGAAATTCAATTTTGTAATAACTTAACCGATGCGAAACCTGCGTCCTCCACCTTCCTACCTGTTATAGTCCATAGATGTCCAGAGAATTTTAATACTGTAGAGTATTTTGAGGTACGTATATAATTTCATCTTCTTTTAACACGTTGCATAAAAATAAAAGGTATTCAAATGTTCGTCATTCTTCAGAATCTCAACACAGAAGCTATCGGTCGCTTGGTAATATATTCGGACGTTATGACAACTTCCTACGATGTTACGGATAATTTAGTGCTTCAGCATGGTTTAGCAGTTATACCTCGTCATCAAACACATGGTCGAGGTAATGCGTCATTCAATATTTTTGTTTAAATTGTAAAATAAAAATATAACTCCTCATTTGTATTCTTTAGGACGCACTAATAATACTTGGCTAAGTCCGGATGGATGTGCCATGTTCACTTTACAGTTACATATTCCTACAAATTCCATTCTTGGAGAGCGAATTTCTCTTATTCAACATTTAACTAGTGTAGCTATTGTGTCCGCTGTTAAGTCGATTCCAGGATACGAGGTATTATTAGAAATCCACCATATTTACGTGTTACAAAATCATCAATTAGATTATGTATATAAATTAATATTTTTGTATTTGCAGAGTATAAATCTCCGAATAAAGTGGCCTAATGATATTTATACGGAAGATAACTGTAAAGTAGGAGGTCTAATTGTTAAATGTAACCATCAAACTTCGTTTATTATTTGTAATATAGGTATAACTCTTATTTCCAATTTTTTCAAGTAATTTTACATTAAATGTATAATATTTCAGTGTGTTAATAACGTTTCAAAAATTTCAGGAACTGGCATTAATGTTTCAAATAGTTCACCTACAGTTTGTCTCAATGATCTAATTAAAAAACATAATGGGACAGTAATGAAAAAATTAAAAAAATTAACAGTAGAACGGTTTTTATCGGCAGTTTTTAATGAAATTGAACATTTGTTGAATACTGTACAAGATGGAAATTTAGACCACTTATATAACTTGTATTATCAATATTGGATGCACACGTAGGAATCTTCAATTTTTTAAATTACTTGATTCAGAATATTATCTTCAATTTTATACTATTTCAGAGATGCTGATATTACGATAATCCAATCGGACGGTTCATCACAGCAAGTCAAAATTATAGGTATTGACAACTTTGGATTTTTGGAGGTCAAAGGAAAACGGGGAAATGTTTTCTCGGTTCATCCGGATGGAAATAGTTTCGATATTTTGAAAGGATTGATAGCACCAAAGTTAGAAATTTTATGAATACTTATACGGAATAGTCACCATGTGGATTGTTCGGAAAATATTTCATCCAAATATTGATTTATTTTCTTGATTACCGTTCAATGTGTAGTCGATAAAAATACATTCCTACTGCTAGTGACATTTTTCATTTTTAACTTTTTCAGATATCATCTTTTTAGTATATTGAATGTTGACATTGTAAATTATAACGATAAAGTTTCATCTCTTAACTTTGGATTCTAAATGACATAATTCTTAAGACCACTTTTCATTCGGTTCAATTGTTATGTGTATAAAAATATTGATGTTTTATGACACACGTGTGACTTAATACAAATTCAACAAACAAAATTGAACAAAATGATCTAATCATGTATACTTCTTACAATTAATCATCAAATACTGCCTACATGATATCAATGTAAATTATTCTATCTGAATGTGAGTTATATCAAAGCATTATTGCTGATGGAGAAATATGAAACCGTTTAAAAACTTTATGAAGTAGGAATTAGCTATTGTTATCTTCATTGATATATATTTTTTAACGAACGATGAAATTCACAAATTAATATCGTGCGATCGTTGCGATTTTGAAAGGATAACTGTCTCTGCGAGCGAAAAGTCTAGAAGATTATCTTTATGGGAGAGTGACCATATAGGAGAGAGGGAAAGAAAGACAGATGGTTGCGTGGTGTTAACAAAGAGATGACTCGGGATAAAAGAAATAGGATCTTCTCCTAGGATTTCTCCTGAATATTGGCCTGCTCTACAAGGACCCCTTGGAAAATCAGAATACGGATAATTCGGGGGTGAAAAGCCTCTTTTTTCGAAAAAGATGATGAACTGTCGACTAATCATCCCAATACCCCGAGTTCCTGCGTAAGTTTTTAAATCAAATGTTTGCGTGTGCGTTATTTCTCTCTCTCTCTCTCTCTCTCTCTCTCTCTCTCTCTCCCTCTCTGTCTCGCTCTCGCTCTCTCTCGCGATTTGAATGTACGAATTTTGAGCCGTTACATTTGTATATGTTATTGTATATTATGTTGTTTTGAAGAATATACCGCCGAAAAAGAATAATTTTAGCGCGTATGTGATTAACCTGACAAATCTGCCTGTGCATGCAACTGACTTCTGATCAGAGCATTGCGTGTGACATAGTCAAACGTTCACCTTTCAGCAGACAGCCAGTGGCTAACAGCAACAACATCCTGTCTCGTAATAAGAATCAGCGATCGGTTGAGAATTAAATAAATATTCCCGCTTTACAATTTTTTTTCTTTTTTTAACAAAATTGTTGTTTCTTTTGTGAACAAAAGTTGTAACTGCTAGCAATCTTCATAATTTATCGAGGCTATGAAAATAAAATGATAATACTCAGAAATGTTGTGCTTTAATATATTTTGTCAAGATTCTTTTATACAGACATCAGGTGTCGAAAGCATGAAGCATACGACCCATAAACATTTACTCACGTAATAGCGTGATGATTTCTTTTTTCTCCCTTTTTCCTTCTTCAGAACAAACGTTTTTTTTACAATTTACTTTCAGATTGCACTTTTCAATCGATATCTTAAATTAACAAATAAAAATGTTTCTATTTGACGAGAATACTATCGCCGTTTACACACAGGAAAAGATAATTCGAAGTACTAAATAGCGATTGAAGATTAATCAGCGAAAGGTATATGATGATAGATTAACTTTTGAACATTTATACAGTATATTTCCGCGTGATACAGAATCCACAGGAAAACAATTAAGTTTCACGATAGTATGCAACTTGTATCCGCACATAATAAATATGATATAATACCCATTACTTTGAGTAATGTTTTGATTGTTTGTCTGGTGTATTTACTTATTCTTATAGCAATTATCATATAATATACACATTATTTCCAAGACATTGAAAAAAAATTCAAACGCTGATAGAAGCATATCTTTGTTGTCTGATACAGTAAATAACAATTTATAATTTAATTTAAATGAAAATCAACAGAACAATTTCAAAATTTTATAAATAATTTAACAATAAATCTTAATTATTAAAAATCAATTGCCTGCGAAATTTTACTTCATTGAAATATGTTTGGTCGGGATCTCATACATTCGACGACGATTAAAAATAAATTGTCTTGTGCGGGCGTACATACTGTATAAACTAGATTTTTCTTTATGTTTTTTCTTTTTCTCTATAATTAATCGGTTACTAGTTACATTGGTCCTTTAAGGATGATGAGCCGTTTGCTTGGCCACCAAAAATGTCTTTCGCTCGCAACTTCCTAACTTTTATTTTTTTTTCAAAGCACTACGTTTCATGAATATCGTTATTTATTGTTTTTTCTTATTTTTGTCTCCAAGAAATAAATTTCAATTACATTATATATCACGCTACGATCGCTAATCTGTACATAGTCACGAACGACAAAGGTACGTATTGTTTTCCTGTTATCTATATAAATAAAACATCAAGTATTTATTCTGAACTTTGAAATGGTTTGATATTTCGCAGAGAAAGCTCTCATGACATTATATCACTATAACTCACAACATAATTCAGAATGGATACTTCATGTTTACCATTGTTTGAATTCCAATGCAATTCTTTTCTTTCAGTTTTATCTCTACGGAAGTCAGGTGTATGCTAGTGATTGAAGCAGAACAGCGATGCGAGAAACCGAATGACCCACAGTACCTCTATTTAAAATGAGTCTGCTATACAACTGCTGTCTATTTCATTAAAATTTGAAAGAACATACGATCTCCTAATTTTCAAATAAAATCAATTAATTATAACTTTTAAATTATTTCCAGTCTTTTAAAAAGTCTTTCAAAAGTTTTTTTTTTACTTATAAAAACCATTAAACCAGCCTCCAAGTAGCAAAAATTAGATGACGTAGCAAAGCTTTTGCTTCATTAGATCGGCAAAATTAAAAAAAACACCAACAAATGCTAATAATTACTTCTTTTTCTGTGGTCGTTAAAAATCTAATTATCTATTCGTGAATTACTAAATTTCCAATCGATTATTTTCGGGTCAGTTATTTCATTACTTCTACTAAAGTAGTCGTCTTTAAAACTAGCCTATAATTTAGTGCTTTATACGATATTATATTAATAAGATCATAAATAACATTTTGTCTTTTCACCAAATTACTGCAATATTTATACCTAACGCTATAAGGCTATTAATAATGTTATCTGTGTTAATTTAGATTCAACATGTGCATGCATCTCGATATATCAAAGATAAGCATGAGATCAGCCTTTAATTCAAGGATCTAACAAAAAAACTTATGACAATTTAACTGACATAAGGAAACGGCCCACTTTTAGATTGTTTCATCTTATCTTATTCAAAGTGCGTTCTATACATTGCTAGTCACAAGCTTACAGGGTGTAGTAAACAAAACTTCATAAGAATATAATCAGTGCGACCAGTTTAAACTTTAATTTTTAAACCAATAAAGAAGGAAATCGAATATTTTTTAAATAAATCAGCTCAGAAATAAGATGTTTTTTAGCATAATTAAACAGCTGATCGATTAAACATATATACTGTAATAAATTCATTTTCATAGGCCAATCTATCCATTCTATAACACTGTACCACAACATGTTTAAAACATAATAAAAAAATGCAACAAGTCAGTAATGTAAATTGGCAGTCCCGTGATTAAGATATCAAACAAAAATTGACAAGGCAGATTTGAGAGCATACCATTCATATCACTAACACCCTTTAAGCCTATAACTATGAAAATAACATATGTATACATATGTATATATTCATTATTATACAAATATAAACGATGGTGTCTGTACGTTACATTTTCAGTTTTGTTAAACGCTTACATTTTCACACAGCTATTGATTTAATATTATTGTACACTGGACTGCATTATTTGGCAGCACTAAACTATTTTTTCCTTCAAATGCTTCGAAAACTCGTTAACTCATTAAATAGGAATTCGAAGTAGTTCGCACGAAACATCCACAATTACAATTGCAGATAAACTTGTTTAGAGTTTTTGGATTTTTCTCTTTACTCGATTTTGGAGGCAATAATTGAGATCAATTAGTTATCAGTTGGCTTTTAGTTGGCGAATTTGTCAATTTCTTTAAAACCTTATTTAAACTGTTTTCATCGAAATAATAGAAGATATATTGTTAAGATATTGCACAACAATCAACATCCAATAGAGTTTATTGAATTATATATCAATAAATATGTGAGAAAATTGTATTACATTGACAATAGATCAATAACTATCTTCAATTATGAAGTTGTATAAAGATAGAACGGCAAAAATGGACTGAACAAACCTAATTTATAAAACAACCTATAAAAAGTGTTGTGTGCAATATATCAGTAAAACTAAGCTATAACTAATTTACATATGTATAATCACTCGCACCAATTCGACTCAGACAAAGCACAGATCCTTGACTTTGAAACTCAATGGAATAAAAGATTAATTTTTGAGATGATTCACATCAAAAGCGAAATTCCTCGCATCAATAAACTAAAAATTTAAGTTGCGCTTAAGTCCAATAATCTGTACTTTTCGAAAAAAAAAAGAAAAGGATACGTAACTTAGCTGAACTGAGCGAATTTTATAGTGACAATCAATAACTGTTCTAACAATATTGTACCACTCGCTGTGCTTATTTGTAAATAGGCAGGTATGTTTGCACGTTATATAATATCATTGCAAATAAAATCGAGTAAAAAGGAAATTCAAAAAAACGAAACAAGGATAAGCGAGATGTCAAATATTGATTCAAACTTGTTTAGATATTTATCCTTTAGATTTATGGAAGATTTTTTAGAGATTAAGCAACTTTGATGGAGTTCGTTATGTAACAAAAGTAAACAAACCCATTATAAACAAAACATTAAATAAACTCTTAAGCCAAAATTTTAAACAAAAACTCATTCGCATAAGAATTAGCCATAAAGTTGATGTACTCTATGAGTAAAAAAATTCGAAAAAACTTAACGATTGGTTTTTTCTTGATAAAATGAATGAGTTAACGTTACCATGTAACTCGGAAAGACCACTGGGTTATAACCAATAGCGTATTCGGCAAAGAAGAAAAATGTTCAATTATCTATATTTATACGATTATCGTTGTATCGATAAATGCACTCATACATACCCACATGCATACTTAAAATCGATATATTACATGCACGCGCATATGAACACAAATGGCGCGCGTTGGACACGGCAAAAATATATTCAACAGGGCCGAACACCATTTTGCACTTTTGTAATTTTTTTTCGGTTTTTTTGCAAATTTGTTAATTTCAACAGTATTGTCTACTATGATCCCTACTGTTGAATGATAATAATAATTTCTCAAAGCCAAAAAAGATTAATCTACAGCTTACGTAAAACAAAAAATCTGAGGATCATAAAAGCTTAAATAGTACGCTTTGTATTTTGTAAACGCCAGAAGAGTATAAAAAAAACACAGCTATCGCGTGTTAAAACTAGACGAAAAAAGAATAGAAATGTCATGATTTCAAAGCTTTGGCATGAATATAGGTATCTATACGAAATTAAAAGTACAAACATAGCGTTCAGCGATGCGCGCGCTCTTCATCACCCTGCAATATATGTATACGACGAATTATAACGATAGGCAGTATGTATATATACATTAGTTACACGAGAATTCGTATTATACGCGGAAAAAGTTTTTTTTCTTATTTCGATCGTCATCATCATCATTCTTGTTGTTCTTAAATGAACCGGGGCAAACCGCCAGCTGAGCGATGATACATATAGGGCGCAGGCGGCATGCCAGAAAAATGTCTTTGGCGTTGATGCGACAACACACCACGATGCCCCGGCGACGATGCCTGTTGTTGCTGTTGCTGCTGTTGTTGCTGTTGCTGTTGCTGCTGCTGCTGCTGTTGCTGCTGCTGCTGTTGCTGCTGCTGTTGTTGCTGCTGTTGCAAAAGATGAGACGCACCGTCGCCAAGATCCAATTCCAATTCCTGCTGCTCAACCAGCTGCAGGGCTCCAAACGACGCTGTTGCCATGGCCACGTCTGGCATTATACCCGAAAGATGGCCATCGCTGCACGAATTATTCTCCAAGTGCTGCAATTATTTCGGCAATTGACTTTCGATTGTGGCTTAGTCGCGTAATGCAAGTCTCAACCGAAACAGTTGGATCGGTGGAAGTCAGAGACATTTTCGCGCGAATAGATAGAAAAAGAAAAAATAACGAAAAATCTACTTCGAGTAACGTGAAACGTGACTGGTGTCGGTTGCGTGGAAAATGCATGTATTGATTGTAAAAAAAGCTGACGCTGCACATGCCAAGTTGATACAGAAGCTCGACTGACTCGACGAATGAGAATGCCCGAGCACACAAAGAAAGAGGCAGAGCAAGCAAATTGAAGAAGTGCACTACTCTGAGATATCGCGAAGGAGGAAGCGGTTAATTAGGACACAATAGATGGCTTTAGAGTATCATCAATCATCGTTTACTCGCGATTACTATCAATTAAAGCCTGTCGCGCATTCTTTTTTCCTCTTGGCACGGGATATGCGACCTAATTCGTGCGTTATACCTCGGCAGACAGTCTGTAGTTGTCTCCCTCGGTAACGATGGCCGGTAGCTCGTGGTGACGATGATGCCCGTAAGTGGTCGAATGATGTCGAGGGAAAGTCATGTTACGCCCGTAACCGCAACCAGCTGCTACCACCACTGCCGACGGTGCGCCACCCATCAAACCTGACGGTGAACCGCTACATTCCTCGTCCGCCGAGACTGAGCCTGCGTCTGCTTCACCAAGGCTGTAGCACGATGCATTCTGCAAAATTGCCCCATAGAATAATTACGACGGTCACTTGGGTATTCTGATTCGTTTTCCACACAGCTGTTATCAGAAAAAAAACTCGTCATTCTTCAGCTAACACACATCATCGAAAAGGTTCAAAAGGATTACTGGATTATTCAGCACCATTTCATCTATTTCAATCATCTAAATAAAATGAATCTCATAAGAGCATATCCACCAAACATATAACTTTTGCGTAATACGTATAAATCGATAATTATTACTGCTGTAAGAATTTTAAATGTACAATAATTTATGATTTCAATAAAGTACCTTATCTTTAGCATTTATAACAATTTTTTAGGTTCTAAGTATCAATATAGATACGAAAACAAGAACAGCCATAATTTGAAAAATCTGAAAATTTCTAATGAAATAAAAAAAATTTTTTTTTTCAATTTCTGTGTTCTACTTGCGGCCGCTAACGTAGCGCATTAATTATATATCTAATGGATAGTTGACTATAAAAAGAAACAGTAATATAAATTACGTTGATGTACAGAAGCTCATTATAACATTTTTATTATTGCAACACGTCAATGAAGAGAAATAACTTTATCCAAAATTCAAGATATATCGATATTTCGTTATTTGATGATGGTGACTTTCAGTAACCTAACAAATTGATAGTTATTATTTATTGCTGGTATAAAAACGAAAAAGTTTAATCGTGTCATGAATATGTGCACCTTACGTACACACGACCATCTGATTTTAAAATAAATAATAAAATTCGCGTATTTTAAAAAATTTCACTTTATCGTGCAGCACATCTCTAATAGTTTTTCAATATGACTCCTAATACATGTGATTCCATCAATTGATCATTTATTAATATAAATTACGTGAGCCGTAACTATTCGTATTATTATACTGATATTATTAATGAAAATGAAAATAATAAAATAATAATAAACCTAAAATTATAAAAATACATGTAAATTTTATAAATAATTGAAAGATCGTTTAAATGTTTACGATTTGACACTCGCGCAATAGTTGTAGGACATTTTCATTACGATCTGTTTACAAACTCGACAAATGTACGGTACAGATTGTACAGGTAAGTATATTTTGTGATTATGATTTTTGTTCACTCCAAATTATGCTTTCAAAAATTTGCACAGATATGGCTTATGACTCCTAAAGGGCACACGAAGACTTATGCAAAATAAACATAGTGTGTGATTGAAATTGTTTCCAATTTTTCTTGATAGTAAAAGTTAAGAGTTTCGTGGATTTGTCCATAACTCTTTTATTTCCGCATACATTAAAGCTCAGTTAAAACTATCGCCTGGTTAGATAAATAATTGTATACAGCTTGATAGCATCAACTCTCAAAGGAGTTATTATTTAAATTTTATTAGCATCAACTCTCAAACGGAATATATTATTTAAAGTCTTGAAAAATGCTAGTGCATAACAGAAAAGTTTTCTTTAGCTATGGCACGTTCTAACATATTTTTATTGCTAAGCCCCAATTTTCTTGTTGCACGTTGTGTCTATGATAAGAAGCCGCTGCGTGACAATGCAAATCCACGCAACCACTTTATACGTGACAAGGAGCACGGCAACTAGTCGTTTTTGATTATTATCGTTTCGGTACAGAAAAAACAACTTATCGCGCATTAAATCTAATATAACCGTACATGAACACCAACTCAATAGAAAACAAATAGTTCAATGTATCAGGCGTAACATTCTTCGAGTTATCAAGTTATTACGTGTGTCATTATCAACAGTCGTACGACGCTTCCTGCATTTACATACATGACTTTAGCTCTATTTACAAACTTTTCATCTTCTTGGATTGAATTGTTTCACTACAATTATTATCAATGAATTCATCGTAGTGGTTATAGACAAAGTTCGTAAAAATGATCAGTTATTATCAGTTTATTCAGATGTATCATATTTGCAATCAATAGTAATATTACATCAGTCAATCAGAGTAAATTATTTATGTGTAGATTCGTGCGTCTTTCAAATAAACGATCAGAATCAATAATTTCATTGTACTTTTAAACTTATTATATTATTATATCTCGTCTTATTATATTTCGTTTGTCAACCTTGAAACGTCGATTGTCAGTACATAATTTTTGATAAAGTCATGACTGTAAATAGGAGTTCGTTAAAAGCGATACTTTTTAAAGATAAAAAGATGCTATATCCTTATCTCATAAATTACTCTACACACATGATTAACGATAAGAAAAATATTAGTTTTATCTAGCGCGAATTATCGAAATCAGATTAAAAATAATATGTCCGTCGATTCTGAGTTCCATCAACGTCGACCAACTGGCTGAAGGAAGTGGATAATAAATGCAATCAGAGCAAAAATTTGAAGAAACGCGCGCGTCAAAGTTCGGATATCGAACCAGCTGACTTCGCTCGGGCTGCGCGATGCGACCGAAAGCTCTCTGCTCAGCGGGTGACGCAATTGAATCTAACGAGCGTCTGCCAGAGGGGATCTCGGGTTACCTTGACTACCCGTTAGTCGACATTGTGTAAGAACTTATGGTGAACTTGACACATTGGCTCTTTCCTTACCGATGCGAATAGAAAAAAAGAAACGAGCACTTGCTATAGCGCTCGCGTTAGTAGGTCAGTACGAGCTTTAACGGTTGACATCGTTTCTTCTTCTTTGTCCCCTCTTCGACTAATTCGGGCTGCCTCGAGCGTTGGCATTAAAATGGTCGATTCGAAAAACACTGTCTTATACAATTATCACTATGACAGTATTTAAACTCATTTTCTATTCGTCACGAATGCAGAGGAGGTAAAAACACGGAAGAAAAGAGAGCAGGCAATCGCGTGTATCACAAAAAGTTCCCACCTCCGCGATAAGACGCTACGTGAGCGCTTTTCACGCGCGGGGAACGAGATGTATCCACACTGTTACTCGGGGTGTCGGCGCGAACAGTCGCTTATATATAGGGTCAAAGTCAGTCGAGTTCGCGACTTCACCAGTGAAGCAGCTCATCACACAGCTCGCCAATACTTTAACTCGGTTTTCCCTTTTCTTTTTCTTTTGTTTTGGTCTCACACAAGAAAGTGATCGCGAAGTACCGACGAGTGTGTCTCTATAGTTTTGAATTTTCGGTGAGTTCTGTTTCTCTTTCGTTCAACAAGAAAAAACGGATTCGGACCGAATTTTCTTTTCAATATTGTGACATGAAAGCAAGTAGGAAGTGTGACACTTGACTCGTGTGCAGCTTTTGAATAGAGACAGACAGAAGTTGACTTCGTTATCAAACGACCTAAAATGCGTGAGAGCTTGCGGTATATATACGATCGTTATCTAACCACATGTGACTTGCTAGATATGTCTTTTTCGCTTCAACGCCAGAATAAATTACTAATTAACTTTAAATTATTAAAGACTGGGAATTAATTTTGCCCGTTTTCTGAATAAAAATAAAATCATAATTGTGGTCGTTTATTATTACAAAATAACGTCATTTCTTTCTGTCAATACAAAATTTGCGACAGCTCTAAAAATAAAAGTATAACATCACGAAGATATATTAGCAAGCAGTCAATTGACTGTCAACCGATAATTGAGTTATTAACGTAAGGTATGTTCAATGACGTTTGCGACGCATCAAACTTTCCCTTTTACTCAATTAATAAAAATTCAGTCGCCGATAAATGACGCGCGACTTGCGTCTTTCGCTGTATAAACGTGTCAATCATCAATTACGGCTTTTTTTTCTGTGGACGTTTCAATTTGTACGGAAATTACCTATCTAGTATATGCGCGAATCAAAACCGGCTTTTCAATTGCCGTTGAAGCTTCATAGGCTTATATAGTGTATGCGTAGCTTATGTCATTTGAGCTTCGAATTGGTGTCAAACTCTTTCCTACGCACAGCTCAACTTTCATTGCTCGCGCATTGTAATTTAATAAAAAGCCAATTTCCGGCATTTCCCTTGCATAAGAGTTGGTAATTTTAGGAGAAAATCCCCGTAAAAAGTAACTTGCGCGATTTGGTACACCGTTGCCGGCGCTCCTTTTCCTCCAGCAAATTTATTGCCGGCTACGAGCAATGCAATGAAAAAGAGAAACACAAGTAATTACAGTAGTAAAGCTAGTGTTTAATATTCACTTTGGGCTGAATTTTAAAGTTACGCACGGGCAACTGCGCGGGCTTTCAGAACGATAAGGAAGTTGAAGGACAAAAAGTTCCGCGGTGAAAATTACTACTCGACATATATATATATATGCATTATACAACTATCACTTGCATCACCGCCAACTCTTACAATACTTATTTATCAATGTATATAGAAAATGCCAATCGTCAATCACCTGCCGGATAACAGACGAGTAAATATCGAGCAAAACATTTTCTCTTTTCCTCGTCATGTTTATAGATAAATAAACATTCTTTCGCGATACACAAAAGCTACGCGCCATGCAAGCCACAAGCAGATCTAATTTATTTTTTATATGCTTTGAAAATAAATTTGCAATCTCTAGACTCGATGACTTAATGCATTGATTCGCACAATATCTGTTTTCAAAAAAAACAATGTTGCATACATAAATGCTTCATTTCTGAATGGCCTTTATTGTAAATCACAGAACCTGAATAATATAAAAGCGTGAGCAATTTTTTGTTTTTTTTTTTGCCTAGATAAAGAAAATGAATATTATTTGGGAATCAAAATAATTAACAGACTCGCGAGAAAATACCTGGGTGACAACGTGACACACACACTTTCAACCACAAGTTTCAAGTAAATATGCTAAAAGCTAATTTGTAAGCACTTGCAAAATATCTATGAATTTGTTAATACAAATTAGAAAATGAGATAACAAAGAAGAGACATTGAGTGGTCAAAATAATGAATATCGTTAACAGCAACCAATTTTTGCATGCAAACTGTGCGGTCAGCTTAAACCTCAATACCATGCCTTGCGGCATGGCAAGAGACGATAACGAGAAAAAAAGAAGAAGCAATTGCCGGCGATAGCGCGAGTTTCGTCATTTGCAACGTGCATTTTTTAACGTGAACAATCACGGAATTCGAAGTTGGTTGACAATGAGCTGTTTTTAATTACTGACTCTCTCTCTCACTCCCTTTTGAGTGGAGTTCCTTGCGTTTTGAAGGACTTACGCAATGCCAACAGCAACAGGCTACAGTAAGAAGTCAGTCAATTAACCATAGTACTGTGATGAATTGACTAGACAATGAGAGAACCATAAATGCGGAAGCTTAAAAACTTTACGTAATAATCTTTCTGTGTATAATAGCTTTTCCCCTTTCCAAGCCGTCGCGAGCAATCAACTCAGTCAAACGAAAGTTCAATCAGAGCTGGCTAAATGCAGTCATACCCGTGTTTGCTTTATCTATGAAACAACGCCGGTCCCAAAATAATTTTCAAGCTATTGTTTGGATTAGACCTTATAAATAGAAAGGGCCACACGATAACTGTGCCGAATAATTATTATTTCAAGGAATTTCTGGATCGCAAAGTTCAGCACACACATTTCCTAAGGCAATGGCCGATTCCGACAAATGCTAAATTTGAGACAAATATAATTAACGATCGTTATTACGCGCGGATAATTAGCCGTGAAAGAAGCAATGTTGAACGGCAACGCAATGTCAAACAATTCAATGAGACATTAAAAGTATTCTCGGAATGTTTGCAAGCAGTCACAATGACTATTGGGAAAAAGTAGGTTTACTGTGTAATATAAGGCTCTTCGAAGACTACGTTAATAGAAAAAAATAGAAAATATCCGGTCGGCAATGAATTTTATTATTAAAATTGGAAAACTGCCACGCAACAGTCCGATCCTTTTTATCGACAACGCTTTTATAATCCCCAATCCGTATCAGCCCGTCAAAGTTAAATAGAAAAAAGCGTATAAACCACGATAAAGTTGCGTCGCTCAGGAAGCGTTAGTACCAAAACGGTTAGGTCCGAAATAAAACTCGGTGCGTATTACATAAGTAGAAATTCATTCGTTCAGACTATTATACTCTGGTCTTTAATTCGATTCACCCTAAGCCAATTGCTTCACTCAATTCTAGTTAGTTGTCTTAGAAGACACTGATTGGTTCAATCACGGAGTCTATAAGGCGCTCGTATGAAAGACAATCGCCTACATAAATGAATGTGAATAAAGTACGAAATCTCGTCGCCATATTAAATCATCGCGATTTTTTCTACTCATCGTTCGCAAATTGAATTACAATGGAAAAAATCTTGCGGTGACTTATGCCTTTCACGGTAAACGACTCAGAAACTTTTATTTGATTCGAATTCAATTTATGATGACGTGTTCTGATTGATGCCCCACGAGTCGCAGCTGATCACTGATATTATGGCGGATGTATTGTCACAGCTGTGCATCGATCACATACAAAAACATATTCGAATAAACATGAGTGTTCGTAACGCGAAACAATATCGATTCGTATTAAGCTCTGTCGACACGTTTATTCAGGTTGATAACTTTCTCAGTGAAATTGACGCACGGTTTTTTTCAATAAAACTCATCATACGGCTGTTGTCCAAATCTTCGACCAATCATATTAGTCCTTTAAATCTCTTAATTTCAACGTACGTTTTTCTTTGACAGTCCTTGGAAAATGCCGGAACTTAACGAACCTCTACCATTACAAGACTTGGAAGGTCTACTCCAAGAAACATTAGGTTCACCATTGTCGGTAGAGGTAATCGAATGGAAACATTTGACAGATCCAGGCGAGAATTTCGGAAGTCTCATTCTCGCAGTGACAGCTAACGTATCGAAGAATGGAAAGCAAGAGACGCATAGATTAGTGTGCAAAATGCCACCCAAGTCAGATTACTTATTGGATCTTTTCAACAGCCCCATGGCTTTTCATAAAGAACTCTACTTCTACACGAAAATTGCGCCTGCTTTTCTGGAGCTTCAGGTTTGTTGAAACAACACCTTAACAATGTGGTTATTGCGACAAACTACGTTTCTGATTTTTCTTTTTTTCTCGTTCAGATAAAAAGCGGATTTGTCGACAATGAACTGATCAAATTAGTTCCCCAATATTATGGTGGTCGCATGAGCTTAAACAGATCGGACAAATTTGACTCTCAAGCGGCCATCGTCCTGGAGAATCTCAACTTTTCGGGCTACACAACCAAAGATCGACTCACTGGCATGGATCTCCATCATATGGAATACAGCGTGAGGGAGCTTGCCAAATTGCACGCCATTGCTTGTGGCTACAGGATCAAACATCCTGAGGACTTTAAACAGACAATCGCGCCAGGATTAGTTATGGCACAAAATGACATTGCTATGAAATGCATCGATGAGATGATACGCAAAGCCGTTGACAATCTTAAGAAGATGGACGAAGCGAAGCCCTACATGGACAAAGTCTTCAAGACCCTCGAGCACATCGACAAACATTATAAGGAGAAAAAACCGCTGATCGGTGAGAATCTACGTGTTTTCAATGCTTAGTTGTTTTTTTTTAAATTTGTCCTTACTTTATCCTATCTCTACTTTTCATCATATCGTAGTAATAATTACTTAAGAGTTTGAAGCTTCCCTGTACATGCTTTTAACCAATTATAATCTTATCCATGCATAGTCAATTTCAAAGTACTGGCAATGAAAACGAGGTCAAACAAGGCCGGTGTTTACATTTATTAAAGCGTGCATTAAGAAGTTTCATGAGTATTTTAAAAAATGACAAACACCTCTATACTTGCAGAGCACTGGTGCACTTTTGTACACGGTGACTTTTGGGTAAACAACATGATGTACCGCTATGGCAATAATGGAAAAATTCTCGGGATGAAGATGGTGGATTTTCAGCTGAGTTCATGCGAGTATGGCATGATGGACTTAGTATTCTTTCTAATATCGAGTGGCAAGAAAGATGTCATTGAAAACAACATGAACGATCTGATTACTTTGTATTACGAAACCTTTATCAGTACTCTACGAGCTCTCAAAGTCGATACGAAAGAGTTTCCTCGAGAAGAATTCGACAAATTGTTGAAAGAGTGTGCGCCTCTCGAGTTTTCTCAATGCATTATGATGGTCCAAGTAATCAAAGCAACGAGGGGCAGTGCACCTGATGTCAATAACATCAAGAATGCCGATGCTTTTCTTAACATCGGTAAAGGACAACTATACGAGGAGAAATTACTCCATGTGTTACTGACGTTTGTCAAAAATGGCTGGCTAGTTGATTAATTATTATATTCGATTAATGAGTGTTGGGGGTAGTAGCTCAATCAAGTTTTGGCAATTGTTCTACTTTACAATTGCACTTGAAAATGAAGGCAACAAAAAAAAGCTAATCCTTGGTGATCTGCAGATCAATTGCTAACATTTCTTATGTTGAAAATCTAACCTCACGTTATAGGTCTTGATGAAATTTCATGAAAAAATATATTCACTACCGTATGCAGTACTCCGTGAGCAAAAGACGAGGCCGTGCTCTATTGATTTAAATAAGCCGACCAATTCGATGTTTCTCAAATTAAAAAAAAATAAATAAATAAAAACGTGATCGTATCGTACTAAAGTAAATGATCCTTTAAATGATAATTTTGTAAGATTTACAAATTTTAGTTTTATATACATATTTCTGTACATATTTGTACGTAATTTTGAGAGAAAATTTGTTAACGTTAATTCATTCCAAGTGCACGCTCACGCGCACACACATACATATACACAGACACACACAGACACACATACGAACGCGCGCGCGCACACACATACAAGTACATGCACACGCATACACACTAAAAAAGTATGTTTTGTGTGATATTTATACATCAATATCGTAAGTAAAAAAAGACATGCAACGATATAGTTAAAAAGTATAAATAAATTTTTTAAGGAGTCGAAAATTTTTAATTGAGTACATACTTCAAGAAAATCAGCAACTGCATCGGGTAAATTAAATTCCCTGACAACGCGTAACCGCAATTGCCTGTTGATTTCGTGACGCGATGAAAGCGGTAAACTTATAGCTCTTTGACAACTTGGAGATAGTCGTAGCTTTTGCTCGCGCTTCAACATGGCTGACATTGTTGCAGAATCTGGAACTAAAAACGAATTTCTCGATCAATGTCAATGAAACTTTGTCTTTTTATTTCCTGTTTTAACTCTCAATACCTGGAAGAGCTGCTGCCAAAATATCGACTCCGGCAGCACCCATGCCTCGCGGCTTCTCATCGACCATATACAATGTGTCGGGTATGTCAGGAATGTAACGCGCCCTTCGTAACCTTACCAGTTCTGCTTCTTGAACCATTTGTTCTTCGACTAAAGCCTGTTTAGAAAAAAATTGTTATTTAGGTTTACGAAATTATGTTACATTTGACTGCTTGAAAAATAAACAATATTATCAGTAACAATGTTTACCTTGACTTCCTCATAATATGGCATAAAAAGACGAGGCCGTACGAAGAGACCATTTTTCTTTCCTCCCCTTATCCAAGCATTAATCCGCAGGTTTTCTCTCTCGTCCCCTATCATATGACTTGGAGGAGTAGATACTAACCCTCTTCTGATAGCCTGTATCAAGACAACAGGTATCCGCGTACATTACTAATCTATAAATTCGCTCGTCGTGCTTCACGGCAAATATTTAATACACACCTGAGCGAGTATTTCATTATTCGGTGGCAAGACGTGATCCATCCTAACTAAAGGCAGCAATTCACTGAGTATTTCTCGAAGCTCGATATCACTGAGGTCGCGTTTTTTCACGCCTTTCCTAGCGACCGAATGAACCGTATGACTGAGTAAGTTGGGTTCGCGATCTTCCATTCGTCTGACAAGTTCCTGCTCGCCCCACTTGAGCACAGCCTGCAAGACCTCGAGTTCGCTTGCTTGCAAGAAGTGACTCTGCAGCACCTTAGACAGATGCGTGTGATCCAACTGGTGAAGAATCGGTGATGAAATGACCGGTTGGAATTCTTCGCGAAGATAGTGCAGCGCTTGTCGATGCACCCACGCCGAACCATGCGGCTGACTGCCCCATCTTGAAAACGACACACAATGAGTAAGTGGAGCTAATAAATAACAAATAATGAACTAGATAGATATGCTTACTTGAGTACAGTCGGAAGAGTATCTATAGTAAGCCATTCCAAAATAAGATCTTCACAGCCTTGAGAGAGTATATCTAACTCGAGAAATCGACCTATTTGATACAACTCCATGGCCTCCTCCAGCGGACTAGGTCGCATCCGACTAGTGTGTGTTAACGCCTGAACCTTGAAAAGTATATTGAACATCAATTCTCATACAGCGTATTAAAAACCAGCCGGGAATTCAAACATTAGACATTACCTCGCCAAGACTTCCAGCACCATTACCACAGCTACCACCCCGAAGTATGAGCGATAGATCCACCGTGTCCAAGTAGACAGCGTGCAATAGCACGTGCGCGTATCTCTTGGGTATGACGGACTCGTCCAACACGATCCTCGTAGGTATGTGAAGTGCTCGCTCGGTGTGATCCTCGCCGGATCGGGTTCGCCTTTGAATCAGATTGCGAAAGAAGGGCGAACGCGCCGAAAGTATAGCCTTGTGGCAGGGCAACTCGAGCTTTGGACGGAAACCATACTCCGAGCTACCGCTGTCGGGTCTCTGGTAGTCGCTATCCGAGGTGAATACCAGTGCAGCGTCTGCGTAGTTGCCTGTCTCGAGCAAATAACGCAAATCGTGCTCCAACGGATTTGGATTGCCAAACTCGTCGCCCAATCGGCGAAGTAAACTCGCGTCCAGCGAGTCGTCGTGTGGACACACGTCTCCTGTATAGAGGTAACGCAGCAGCGCCGAGAACATCGGTACCTCGATATTGTGGTTGCGTAATTCTAGGCATATCCGAGCGCCGTAACCTGCGAAAACCAGTCATTCGTTATCGTATTTTTTACTTGACTATCGTCTAAGAATAAACGCTGATTGGTGTGTGTGTTTCGCGATTGTTTACAATTTCATACGCATTTACAAACTATGTTTTGATTTTGCAACGTGCTGCTGGAGCAACACTCTGTTGCAAAATATTTATGAAATAGCTCACTCTGCATTTATTCACAAGCAAACGACAATTACTCTGCGAATGTTTCACCGGAAACGGACTTTGACAGTTTCATACGAATAATTTAACATCTAATAATCCAATCGATAAGTATTGGCGCAATGAAAGATGCAAGATCTTTGTCTTATTGTATAATAAAATTGAATCGTTTTTTTTTGTGAATAATTGTTTTTCAAAATATACCATTTAGTCAGTACGCAATAAGCACAAGTCGTGATTTTTACATAGCGTAGAAAACGAAAAAAAAGTAATAACGTAGACGAATCGTGGAAAATAAATTTTTCAGCTCGTTGAAAATGTTTTCCTTATGCTAATGTGACTTTGACCGCATCGGCAAATCGCTAAAAAGATAAATATTCACTCACCCGGACAACCAGCAAGTAGATCTCGAAAGTAAGGACACCTAGCGGACAGCAAAGCTCTGTGCACAGGGAAGCAGGCGCCCCTATAGACAAGATCGACGTCCGTGCAATACTTGTAGTCATAAAGTACCGACAGATCCTGTTTGAAGGTCGCCGCGGGTGGTCGCGCCAGTTCAGCTTGTACGTGCAAGTCCTTGAGCGCGGCCAGTGCTTCGTACTCCTCGAGTAGAGCACCTGCTTCCAGCGGACTCCATGTCGACACCAATTCTCGAATTATTCGGCCGTGATCGCACGACTTTAACGAACGACGTCTTCGTATGAACTTTTTGCGCAGTGTCGCGAAGCCCGTCACGCGTTTCTTTCTATCCCTGCTGTAAATAAACATTCAATTTGATAAAACGTTATCTAATTTATTAGTATACCTATAAATAAAAATAGCAATAAGGAGTTATGGATCATTTGACATCACCAAAACACTGCACTTAATCTCATTTCTAATTTGATTATTTTCGTGCACATAGCGAAGTAAATATGAACGAAGTTAGGTACTGTTACTATATTCAAGATTAACCTCGTTACAACGTGATTCCATCTTCTGTCTAGCTATACTTATTAAATTACACGAAATAATGGATTTGGACGAAGAGGAGCGCATATCTCCAAAAACCAAGTTGCCCGAGTTGTTTAAATTAGTGGACAAAAATCAGAAGAAGTTTATTGAAATTTTGAAAGAAGCAGTATCAATAGCTTCGATTTCCAACTGTGTTGCACATCGCGAAGATGTTATAAAAATGGTGAAATTCTAAGAAATTTATTTGCGCAGTATCTGATAATCGATTTTTCAAAACGCAGTTGAAATTCTGTACTGACGAACTGGAAAGCTTGGGTGCCGTGGTAGATGTGGTAGATGGCAATGATGAGTCTAGCAAACATTTACCACCAGTTCTGTTTGCCAATTTGTTCGTGAAAGAGGAGCACAAGACAATTTGCGTTTACGGAAATATCGGTTAACGGCTAACTTAAAGTACAAAGTATCGACTTTTTTTACATACTTTTGAGATAGGATATTTTGCAGACGTCCCATCGCCAGACAAAACAGAAAACAATGAGAAACATTCTCCTTTCGCATTAACCGAGAAGGGCGGTCGACTCTACGGCTGCGGTATTTCCGATAACAAAGCACCCTTGCTCTGCTGGTTAAACGCACTGAAGCTGTACAAATCGTCGAAAATGGAAATCCCGGTGAATGTGAAATTCGTGATCGAAGCAACCTCGAAAATGCACAGCGCGAGTCTTAAGAACGCTATGCGAAATAAAGGCGAATTCTTTGGTAACGTGGAGTTCATTTGCCTGACGGTGGACAAGAAAGTCGAAGGGCCGTGCTTGAAGTACGCTTACAGAGGCCTATGCGGCTTCTCTTTGTCGGTGAGCTGCGGAGAGAAAAGGGTTCACAGCGGCACTTACGGAGGCGCTTTCAATCAGCCACTCGTCGACGCCGTCAACGTCGTCGGCTCGCTTCTTGATAAGCGAGGCAAAATTCTCGTGCCTCAAGTATGAGAGCTCCGTTTTAATAATAATCGCTTGAAATTTAGCATTACGCGGACTTGTACTTTGAAGTTCATGAAAGACGTGAGAGAAATGACATCGGAGGACGAGAAGCGATGCGAAATGGAATTGTGCACCTTCGCGACATTGAAGCATCAAGCCGGTGTAACACTGAGTCACAAAGAGATACCGTCGCGAGTTATGATGCACAAAACTCGTTTGCCATCTCTAACGGTCAACGGGTTTCACTTGAGGACCGTCGGCGCGGATAAAGACGACTGCGCTTCCATACCCAACAAGTTCGCAAGCTACAACACTTTTCCAAGCTACCTACATATGGAAAGAGAGAGAGAGAGAGAGAGATAAGAACGAGTACTGTCGCGTTTATTTGCTCGTAGGATCGAGGCGATCTTCTCGGTACGACTTGTACCGAATCAAACTGTCGAGAGAACTTATCAGCAGTTCAAAAACTACATCGACAATAAGTGGCAGCAATTCCAGATTGCAAACAAACATAAACTTGAGATGACTATTGGATTCAATCCTTGGCTGGAAGATCCTGAATCGGAACATTATAAAGCAGCAGCGGCTGCAATCCAAACTGTTGGTGCTCTCTTTATTTCAAAAGGAATTTTCAACTTAATTTTCGTCTACTGCTGGTTTTAGGTTTATAACAGAGCGCCGAAATACGTGTCGGAAGGCAGTACACTGCCCGTTGTTTCGATTTTTGGGACATTTTGTCCAGCAAGCAGTATTATTGTTATTCCAATCAGGTATATGATTAACTATTCATTATTGGAATCATGAAATAAATTATTGATTATGTTTCAGTGGCTATGATGATGGCAACCATTCTAGTGCAGACTCAATCTCTGTATCAGATTATTGCCAAGGTATTAAAGTGATTATTGCTTACATGTGTGAAATTTATGAGTTAACTTTCAAGTAAATTCTATTTTTTTAATAAATAATAAATAGTCAATACCAACAAATGAATAATAAATACCAAATAAATAATAAATGTGCATCTGTGAATGAAATAGATTCAAATATTACTATTTCAATGGGCTACAGATCAGAGATTTAGGCATTGCTTCAAAGTACAAAAGATAACTTAAATAATTTTCAGATCTTAATAATAATAAAATTACATAAATGCTTGATTATCTTTGTATTGTTTTAAATAAAATAACCTTATTTTTATTCTAATGGACTTTTCATCTGCGTTGAATACTAAAAGTCAAGTCTTTATTTGCTAAAATAAAGTGTGAAAATTGAATAAAATATGGGTCATGTACCTGACAATAATGCTCAGCTGATCAGGATTACCAGAGGTTGAGAGCCTGGCCGCCTGTACTGAGTCTCCTCCAACAGGCGCAAGGCTCGAAGAGGCTGATGCTCCCATTCTCTGTGTCATACGCGAATCATCTCTCTGTCCTCTTCCTGTGAACCAGCAACCACCGCTGCTGTTCTCTGCTTCTGCACCAGCTCCACTTTCGCCACTGCGCTGCAGTGCACACGGAATTAAGGCCCGAAATACGTTCATCGCTTACCCAGACACCTGCCTGCAATTCATTGTCAATTATAAACAACTTATTGTTCTAGTTTCTAAATATAAGCTTGCGGCATATAAGCAAACAAAAGTTATTAATCATACTATTTACATAGTGTTTTCATGGTATGTCATGCTATCAACACCTTTGTTGTAACATATAAACAACTGTATAGATTTCTATTTTGAAGAAATATGACGTCTTAAAATATTTTCATAAAAAACTCCATGAAAGCACGTTTGCTTATGAGTCAGAATTAAGAGTAAGTACAAGTAGTAAAATAAAATCAATAAAATTGAGGACAAGAAATTTCAGTTTTGAAAGAAAAAGCATAAAGTACAAGTGCTTCCAGAACTAGTTCAATCATGAAAAAGTAAGATGTCAATTTAGGGCTGCAGGCTGCAGTCCTCATCAATTGACAGGAATCAATAAAAATTCGATAACCAAAAAGCCTAGCTTCTGAATCGTTATTTAGCCACGGTCAAAGATCGCGAATTTTTCCTATCTCGTTGCACTAAACATTTTTCACTTTGTTTTCTGCCCGAGAACCACATCAATATGAACATCACGACGCTTTAAATTCACGATTTCATAAACTAGTCCACTCCTCCACCTCCTTCCATCTCCTCTCCTCGTCGTTCTCTCTCTCTCTCTCTCTCTCTTTCTCGCTCGCTCGCTCGCTCTCTCTCTTTCTCTCTCTCCACCCACAACTTTGATCGGGTGCGCGTGAACGTCAGAGATATACCCGTGGTCGTCTAGTTGGAATCTCATCAACCTCAAAACGCACACGCGGTCCTCGATCTATTTCGCAATGCTCAAAAAACTCTCTTGCCAATCCATTGCACGAACAAAAAGGTGATAGTCCCCCTTTGATTTAATGCCTATCAGCTGCTGTTGTATCCCAGCCCAGCTGTTCATGAAACCTCGTCATTATTTTTCCACGACACTGTTTCAAAAACGCACTGTCCGAGCGTGATCTTTACGAAAATAAAACAAGCTAGATGACCACGAGAAATTTTGCTCGTTTCCGAAATTATCTTGAAGCTAGCTGGCTGTTTCTGGTCAGTCGCGCGCACCCTGGACAGTGGACACACACCATCTTCAATATACACAAGTAACAAGCAGGAAAGAAAAACTTTTCTTGAACTTGATATCGAGCTGATTGTTGCCATTACCTGGGTCCTTCCTGCGCATATTTCTTTGCTCTCATTACGTTCGCGACGACATTCGGCCGTGTTTTCTCTCGCGATTGCACTCCTTGCACAATACACCGGCGGCCATGTTTACATTCGAATGCACCGTGCACCCTTGGCAGAGAATATAGATGGAATACATTGCAGAGATGGCTCTCCATGCACTAAGGTCCGTTCCTCAACGTCACGTGTTGAAAAAATGACTTGAAACTTGAAGTTTCTTTTACTTATTTAAAAATACATTATAATTATTTTTCTTCTATAATCTTTTAAACAGTAATCTTAAAATCCTGTAAAAAACTGTTCTTTTGAAAATTGTAAAAAAATTAAAAGAAAAAAATAAATTTTGCTAAAATAAAAAAAAATTATGGTAATGAAATCGATCAATGTTTAATTAATAATAAACATTTAATGCATCTCTCGAAAATACAACACAAAAATAATGAAATCAGCGTTTGTTACATTATAGCTTTTGAAATAGGAATACGACGTATACGACGTTGCTTTAGTACAACGAAACAGATCTTATGTTTATTAGTTTGTGAGTGTGCTTGTACGTGTTGTATCTGTGGGCACGAGATGACCCCGATAAAAATTATCTCTCTCTCCCTCTCTCTCTCTCTCTCTCTCTCTCTCTTTTTCCTGTCCTAACTTTTCTCATTTTACACAGATTCGTTTCGATTGACACGCAACGTTCTACATGCAACTCGCATTAACTTTGTAATGCTAAAAATTTGATATGTATTCTTATCATATAAAATTTTAAAGAATACAAATTTTTGTGGTAAATGCTGTGTCCTAGTTTTGATATTTTACATAAATGTGCTTGTTATTAATTTGTTTTTTGTTACTCACAACTAATTTATTATAAAAATTAATTTTTAATCATTTTTATAATAACAATTGATTATTTAAATATTATAACATTTAAACTATATAACATGCTTTATAATTAGATAGCTTATGTTATGACCAAGATAATTAAAAAATGATTTTTTAAATCATTAAATTTATCAATGTAGATACAACTTTGTTTTTTACATTAGTTTCCATTATACGGTCAATTAAAAAAATTGTCAATAATTTTACTTCTTTTAAAATGTGTAGGAGTACTTGCGATAACTACGTTGCTCAAATCGGCATAAATTAAATTTTATGCATCAAAGACATTTCCGATTGAAAACTTGCTCTGATAGTCGAACATAAAATTCATACTAAAATCTTAGATCGATAATTCATAAATAATATCAATGTGAATTAGATAACAACGATTTAAGAAACAGTAATATTCGCTATATTGATTTAAGTAGTACCGAGTTCTTCACACACCGATTAGCGCTTTTTCCTGTAATATAGTTGCGTCTGATTTGTTATCTGAAACATTTACTAGAAACAAAAGTACTTTCAATAAAGTTAATCATGTTTGCCGTGCAGAATTTGGCAAAAATAACACCTAAGATCGCGAGCACTGCAGTCCAACAAGTTCGTACCAATTACCACATTGTTTCCAAGCCTAGAAACCGAGTCAGCTTTGTGGTAAGGATGAGTTCTACTTCGATGGTTCGATAGTTTTATCTATTACATAATAAACACAATACAGATAATTGGATTATTACAGGACACAAAATTATAAATGCCAAAAAGTCGCATTAAAAATTTCAAAATTGTAAACGATGATAATTAATAATTTAAGTCAGTAAAAATATGAAACAAAATCGGACTTGGAGGTTATGTTTTCATATAGACTACTGAAATTATTTAATTTTCGTCTCATCGTTATTTTAATTTTTGTTATAATTTATTAAGATATTTTATCAGAAATCTATATTAAACTAAAAATAACTATCTTTACAATTTCAGATTAATAACAGATTATTGACTAAAAGTACTTAAAATAATTAATAATAGTAGAATGTTAATTATTTTAAGTGTCTATATTGAATGATCTATTATTTTTATTCACCTAAAATATTTGAAATCCAATGAGAAATTATGTTATAAAATTTTTGTAAAAAATTTGCTAATTTTATACACCTAAATGAAAGAACTTATAAAATTTTTTGGTAACAATTGAACAAAATAGTGAAAATGATTTAATATTTTATTTGTTTCAATGTTGAAACTTGATTTATCTTTAACAGGAAAAAATTGGACATGGAATCTTCATGACAATTGGTGCATTAGCTCTACCCTTAGTAATAGCAACCAACTTTAACAAATGGCGCGAAGCTAGAGGAGAATAAATTATATAGTTTTATTCAAATTTAGTATGATTAAGGGATTAAGGGATGCCCAATTTTATTAAATAAGTTATATAATTTTTTAAAACTATAAATAAGAGGAGCAAATAGTTTTCAAATTTAATTCTCACTTTCTTCTCTACCTACAAAGGTACTACTAAATTTATACATGATATCTGATTTATGCCAGAACTAGCACAAAGCAATGAAAATTTCAAATATTATTTGCTGAATATAATTATTATTTTACCTTTTATTTCTTATTACCAATCCATAATAGTTCATCAATACATAATAATTGCATATTCACAGTGTAACTTTGTTTTTCATATTCAATGGTAATTATAAAACTTAAAATGAATTAGATAATTGATAGATCATTGCTTCCATAAAAGCAACTAGGTTTAATACGCAATAGACTGTATAAATACTTTGAACCACGAGTAATATAGTATTCAATGAGTATCATAAATATTTCCAGTGAGTACAAATAACTACAAATACTAGTGTTTGAATGACGATTTAAAGTTTATTACCCAACATGAATAACAGAAATGGACTTTTAATACTGGTCCTCTCTCCCTCCTCCGAATAAAGAAATTTAATTTGATTGGAAATATTCCCAACTAACACTCTGTAGCATATGTAAATTAATTAATGTTATTATAAAAATGAAATCCCTTCAAACAAAGAAATAGCTTTCCTTATTTTTCTCAGAATTTGTACTCCTATCCTGTGCTGATCAACAATTATTCATCATTATTTATTGCCGTAGATAATCATATTAGACATAAATTTGTTTTTTAGGATTTTACCTCACCTTTATGTTGCACATTTGCATGAAACCATGTGCAACCAGCTTAATTGCTTGAAATCAATCTACAGCTCTGTTAAATTAGAGTTCGCCACACAATTTTAAGCAGTCTGCTTAAAGATATTGATTTATTTATTGTTTCATTTTACAATGAGTTTACCTTATTAAAATTCCATAGTTTAATTAATTTGATAACTAATATTTTATCGCGTCTGTTACAGGAAAAATGTCTTCATGGAGTATTCCTAACTGCTGTTCCCCTAGCATTGCCAATGTATTGGTCTACTAAGTTCACTGAATGGACAGAACAATTCAAATCCGAATAATTTGATGAAGAAAACAATTATTTCTGTACAGTAGAAGTAATCATGAATTTTCTGTTTATAATATTAAATTATTTGTTCCTCATATTTTGAACTTTTTGCTCTTTTTCTCAAACATAAATTTAGACTGTCTACCACAATTTGGCAGTCAAATTGTTAAAGAATTATGAGATTACAATAAATTATTGTAAAGGGTATAAAATGTAAATTTGTTTTATTTATGTAAACTACCTTGTGCACTTACTTTAAAACAATATTACAAAGACCAATTATGATTTTAAAAGAAGTTAAAACAAAAGTAACATTTTTATGCCTTTAGAAATAAAATCAGTAAGTGAATACCTTACAAACTTCCTACTTAATTTATAATATTTTAAAATTAACAAATATTTTTATCAAACCACAGTTCTTTAACATGAGTTGGCAGAGTAGATACCTGTAACATTTTCAGAAAGACAAAATTTAATTATAAATTTAATCGATATTTTTCAAAACATACAATAAAATATTTACTAAACTTATCCAAAGTTGTCAAGAAAAAATGAATAACAAATTTTTACTTTAAATATTTCGCAATTCAGTATCACACAATTCTATAACAAAATTTAGAAAGCTTTAAAAGAAGTTGCATAACGTAAAGAACAATCCACTCTCGTAAGATAAAAGTTTACCATTTCAAAAATACACCAACAATTAAAATTGAAATCATCAATCAACACAACGTTAATTTAATTTCGGCGCATAAACAATTTACAAAAGAACACACCAGAGAAAAGAAGAAAGCAAAAAAAGGATTGCTTAAAAAAAATATTTACATATGAATTCGCGTAGAGAACGTTGCGCTAATAGCTTTTATAGTTTTCATTTGGTGTTTATACACAGTCGGGGCGCGAATAGCACGCCAGTATTCAGATTCAGATACTTGGTCGGCTTTCGTCGTCGCCGGTTCAATCAATTGAGATCTCTGATAATAAGCAAGAGCCTTGGCTGGATTGCGATTCATCCGTGGTGGTATACCGATAAAATTTGACCCTGGCGAAACCAGAAAAATTCAAAGAATTTCAAACTATTTCCAGGAAACAAAAAAAATTGCTCATCGAGCGTAAACATCACGAAAATACTTGAACAAATAATTAATGCAAATTGCAACGTTTCTTTTGCGAAAGTCAAAATACCGTGGAGAATTCCATGATTCAATTAAGCTTGTATTGAGGAAACGCAACTCACGATATGCGGTGCCATAACTTCATAAAAATTTGACTGTTATCCTTCGCCATTAACTTGGAAGATTGCATGTAGTGGTCCGTTGCCTCTTAATCATTTCAAAATTCTGGTGCTAAAGTATTTGTTGTGTTTACCAGAATATTGCCGTTCGTATAAAATCACTTCAGCAAATGTATTACAATAAGCCAATTAATCTTTCATTAATGAATTCGAAGTGGACACAAATAATTTTTGTATAACGTAACAAAAAGTTTTTATTAAATTGACACGAACGCTTATTTCAATTTTTCCGTTGTTAAGCTTCATAAAGAAAGTTTATTGCATTGATGCAGAATAAGGAAACATATTTATCAGTGGCGATTAATAGCACACTGAAGTCTTTTTTAATTTCGATAAATAAAGGCTGAATTCGTTAAGCATATTGCTCGATAATAAATCCAAGAACCATAATCGGATACCCTTTCAATTGCCTCGACCCTGCTAATAATTTCATGTGTATATCATAAGCAAGCTGGACAAGACAAAAGCTCACGAGCCGCGCGCTTTCAACTCTCGTCACAGACCAAAAAAAAAAAGAAGGAATCTCACTCGCACAAGCAATGCCGACAAAAGTTTCGACGCTAACAAAGGGCTTCTATTTAATTCGCAAATTATTGTCTGCATCGGAACGAAAAGAGCTTAATCGGCTTTTGAGCTTAACTGTATTCAATGTGCATTGTAGTTCCACGAAACGAAGAGCCTAAAAAGTGGTTATAATCCATACAAGACAACGTTTCGTGGAAAATAGAGGTACGACTACAAGTTTTCCCACTGCGTCAGGTTTTTCGCTACTCGCGCCTTGTAGGAATAGCAACACACATCTGTAAACGATGCCGCAGACTACTTTTTTACACCTCGGGTTCAAAGACTCCCGAGGGGATTTATATATATGCCGTTTTTCGATGAATTTCGGACGTGCGAATATTATAAATGGCCGGCATTAATATTTATTGGGTGTTTCGTGTCCTCCCTTTCTCTCTTGATTGCATCCATTAATTTCTTGTCAAAATTAAGATTACAGTTTTACTCGAGGCTTTCTTTTTCTCTTCGTGCATCGCGCTTATGAACAGTTAGCGGCGTTTATTTTTTTTTAATTGTTGTTGTAAAAGTTAATTGCAATTAGTGGTGAGTTTGTAATAAGCAAAGTTTTATTTTTTTGTAAAACCAACTCAATGTTCAGCTTACGGTTGTTCCTGATACTGACGATAATTGAAAAGGCAAATATTCTCATCAACCTTGCAACATACAAGTTAATTATATACCTTTTTCCTTCTCTCACGTTTAATCAGCAACACTTTTACCGATATAATCTTTAATTGTACGCATACGTGTAGCCACGACTCCCCTCTCCCCTTCTTCAATAATAAAAACCATGAATGCTTTAGGTTAAATTACACAATTATCGATGAAAATCAGAAAAATTCGTCTGTTTCTCCAAAAAGAAACGTCGAATTTTTCTCGACGAGACGCACACTCCATTTGCGATATATATCGATATAAACCACAGCGAAGTAAAAGGTGACTCATCCTCCGAAATTCTGACATATTCATTATGAGTTGGCAACAATTGCCTTGGAGCAATCTATTTCAATGTAGCTAGAAGCAAGAAAAAAACTGACATACGCATGAATGAGCAGCGAACACGCGGTTGCGGCTATTTTGGTCTACTCTGATGGCCCATAAAAATTACACGCCGCTCGTCATATTTCGTCGTCGGCCTAACTCAAAAAATTCTCCACTTGTATTTTATATATACACCTGACGGCTACTAGGCTTATCGCTCGTTTGTCTTATAGGAAATGGACCTTCCTTTTCTACTGAGAAGTATTAATGAATAGAGAAGACAAAATATATAAAAATCGTAGCAGGTCAGAATGAGAAATACGCACGGCGAATTAACATAAAAGATCAAATAAGAAACAAAAGAATGGAGAAACCTTGGATAAGAAGAATTCATTAATTATCGAATCTGTAAAATGTTCAAGACAAGTAAGTAGCTCTCTCTCTCTCTCTCTCTCTCTCTATCTCGATTCGTAAAATAACGAGCTCAACAAAGTACCGAGTGTGTTTTAATTATCTACATTTGAGATTAATATATCTGACTGTCGTAAGTATCAAATTTTTCAATTAAAAAAATGACGAAACGATACTCACGTTACTTACCAGTTTCACCGGTGAAAATATTAATCGCATGGAATTTGGTTGCACAGAAGATCGCGCGCGCGCGGATTTCTTTATATTCAACGTCGGAGTCGTGCCCCTTTATGCAACTGCTCGCTACTGCTCGCTCTCGTACCCATAAATTTCGAGGACACACACTGCTACAGCGCGAGGAACAATGTGCTTCTTTCTTTCCTTTTTTAAGCGCAGCCAGACGGCTTCTTTTGAGAAGTATCGCTAAAAAATCTGCCCATCCGCAGCGGGGAAAACTTTGGGTGGTTGTAAAAAAAAAATCAACGTCGAAAGATACAATGCAGAACGGGTGATTTTGTCCCAAGGTTTGTTACCTTTACGTTTTCTCTTTTAGTACCTGACGAGACGTGCATTTTTACATTCGTTTTTTCCGTACTTGGTCAGTCGTTGGTGTTGCATGAATTATCGCCACAAAAAAACGAATTGACACGTTGAGCGATTGTCACTTTTCAAAATCATCAAAATCGATAAAAAACTCAGCACGTGATTTTCAAAAAAAAAAAAAAAAAGAAAAGGAAAAAAATGTGCAAAGATCAAGATTGGAATGATAATTGCCACAAGCGTCCTTCACGCAAAAGGGAACAAAAAGAAAAAAATCCTAATCGTCCAGAGAAGGTAAATAAAAAGGAAGCTGATCCTCTTCGTGACCGTGCACTTTATACATAGACACATATACACAGAAATCGCGGGCTAATTGGAAAACGTCGTGAATTTCACTTTCAGCAGCTATAACACAGAAATGGTACGTAATCCCGCCGACAAGAAATAACTGCGATCGAAAGTCGTGCCGGCATTGGCTGGCGCTGACTTGGAAACACATAGCCACACATACACACAACCTCCCGCATAGCTTCGCACGACCTTGACTCTGTGGTGGCTACGCGCAAAGGACTCGTCTTAGAGAGTAAGTATTGCCCATGGTTGAAGCGTCTCTCTCTCGCTCTCTCGTTGCATTTATACATGCGCGCTCTCCTCCGTGTGCGCGCGGAATATAAACAATTAAAAATGAGCTACTGCGGTGGCGTGTTGTCCTTCTTCTTCTTCTTCTTGCTGCTGCTGCTGCTGCTATGCGTACTCGGACCCGTCGCGGGGTTAATGACTGCTCTCGCAAGCGATGCGCCCAAGAGAGCATTCTTCTCCTCGTCCTCCTCCTTCTCCTTCTTCTTCTTCTTCTTCTTCTTCTTCTTCTTCTTCTTCTTCTTCTTCTTCTTCTCGTGTTTCTTATGTATCTCTCCTTTTTCGCTGTGATTTCGGGGTAAGAGGCTTGTGTAGCCGCGATATTCAACGCGAAAGTAAAAGTTCTTTCACCTGCGCTCGGGATTAAAAACAACCTGCCGATCGCCGCTGAGTGATAAGTTCATTGCCGATCAGTCCTTGCCGCCTTTTCTATTTCGAGGCGCATTGGTCCTTCTTCGGCGAATCAGCCGCTTTAAAGGACAATGGCCGCGCGCTTTCGACCAGCTGGATAAATCACTTCGGCGAGTGGCATTTTTACGAGCGCATTCGCATATACAATGCGCAAGAAAGAAGTCAAGAAACGCCCCTTCCTACATATTAATACTCCCAAGTTCAATACTCTTTTGCTATTGCGGATGATAATTTATGTTGTCGCGTGATATTTCAAAGGAGAGAAAAAAAGAGCGTACAGATCGGCAACGGTACTCTTGCGCACATGAAAAGGGAAGGAAGGGTAGAGAAATTATGCGAGCGTAAAAGTTTGATGGCCTGGCCACCGACACGCTTTCAGTCGTTATTACAGA